GGGGGAAACAAGCGGGGGGGGGAAAAAGTTTTTGGGGGGGGTGTGGGGGCAGGGGGGGGGGGGGGGCGGGGCGGGGCTCTGTGGTTTTTTTTTTGGGGGGGGGGGGGGGGGGGTCGCATTTGGAGCCAAAAGTTCCGAGTGTGCGTGAAGAAATCGCCATTGGATAGATACACACAGGCACACGCACCTAGACCCAGAGAGAGAGAGAGAGAGGGAGATACAGATGGAAATGTCGTTGCTGGGCCAACGCACCAAGTGACCGACGTGACCGAAGCGAGGCGGTAGAGAGTGTCGGCAGCGAAGAGAGAGTGTGCTGCAGGGAGACAGAATTTCAGCTGCAGAAACGAAAGCTCAAGTGCTCCAGCTCCAACTGGGACTAGCACTTGAAGTCTGCCCCTTGCCATAAAGTGATTTCGTTCCTCCCTGGCAGATGAACCGATGAACTGCTAACTGATCCGCAGATCGAATGCCGATCAATGGCTAATTGGGCGAAACTCTCAAAACTAAACGGAATCTTATCCTAACCAGTTCTGCTTCTGCCTTGTCTGAACCGCCACCTGCTTGAGCATCATCTGTTTCGCTTTTTTGTTGTTGTTGTTTCTTTTGTATCTGTCCGCTCTGTGGAAGGGAAGTAAATGCAAATTTGTTTTGTTATTTGTTTATATTCCAACAACTTCCGCAACAAATACGAATGCGAACTTATGCATATGCAAACTCGTAAACATGAGTAGGATCTGCATGAAAGATGACAAATGGATATGCTAGCCACTAGCTACCATGCGATGACATTAAATTCCAATGTTTGGAGGAGTTTTTTGCTGTAAATGACCTTCAATTGTTGGCATTTTCCAGCCTCAGGGCTGAACTTCCCACAATCCTTACTTAGTTCTACAGCTCCTTACATAAATATAAGAATATTTTGGGATACCTTTTTGCGATTCTATTGCACAAAATGTGGCGATTTGTCTCTGCTGGAGTCCGATCACTTGTGAGAAATTTATGCAGCGTAACATAAATGAAATGCCTCCCTCCCGTATTAAATATTTTTGTAAAACAGATAAAGGGTTCACTTTACTTAGTTTGGGATTTAAACACTTGACTTAAAGCTTGTCTTGTCACAATGTTGCTCGAATCAAGCGAAGAATTATTGTAGTTGTGGGAGAGTTTTATTTTCATTGTTTGATATGAGATTTTTCCATGGCTTTTGGAGTAGATCTTGTGATCTATCATGGGTGCATCATTAATGTTTTAGTCACGAATAAACTTAAAAAGATTTATATAGATTTCTCAAAGAGAGAAAATGCTTAAAACATAATTAAATGGAAAGGAGAGCGGCATATAGACAGTTGGGATGGGAGAATACATTTTCTACACGTTAATCTTTAATTATTTTAAACACAAAATGCATTAAACTTAATGCTATTGATAAATATTGATAGAAATCTGTCGATTCAAATGAATCCTAGTCTAAGTCTAAGGCCTTAATGCAATCATATGTCTGGGATGATTAGTACACTCCCAAAACCAATCTCAGCTTTGAGTTTGCAACTAATTTTGTGTCTTCCCTTTGCTCCTCCGAATCGAACAGGAATTATGACACTGAGCCGTGGCCCGTACAGCGAGCTCGATAAAATGAGCCTTTTTCAAGACCTCAAACTCAAACGCCGGAAAATCGATTCGAGATGCAGCAGTGACGGAGAGTCCATTGCGGACACATCGACCTCGTCGCCGGATCTTTTGGCGCCGATGTCACCGAAGCTCTGCGACAGCGGCTCAGCCGGCGTGTTACCCCTGACACTGCCGCTGCCGCTGCCCCTGCCGCTGCCATTGAGCCTGCCGCTGCCCATGGCCCTGCCCCTGCCACTGCCACTGACCACCTCGGCCGCGGCCGCATCGGTGGCGGCGGTATCTGTGTCCCTGGCAGCAGCGGCGGTGGCATCAGCGGGAACGGGAACGGGCACGGGATCTGGATCTGGAGGCGGAGCAACAGCAACATCAACAGCTCCCTCCGTGTCCACATCGATATCAGCGGTGGCCTCCTCCTCCACATCATCGCTGTCATCGACATCCTGCGCCTCCTCCTCGTCCTCTTCGTCATCCTCGCTCTCCACCTCCTGCCCCAGCAGCAGCAGCAGCCGCAGCGGCAACAACACCATCACCATCACATCCAAGGCCGGCCAGGTAGCCGGCTCCGGAGCAAGTATCAAAAAGGAGCACTCAGAGATTCACTCCTCCAGCAGCGGGAGCAGCAGCAGCGGCAGCGCAGTGACGACAGCGGCGGCTGCCTCCTCGGCAATGTCACCACCGCCCACGGAGCATCAGGCTCGTTCCAGCAGTCCGCCCACGTCGGAGGTGGCAGGCACCGCAGTGGCGCCCAGCGGTGGATCGATGAGCGGGGGGACGCGGGCAACGCCAACGCCGCCGCACAACAATGGGGGCGCGGCATCCAGTTCGAGCAATGGCGGCGGCAGCAGTCGCGCCTCACCCGACTCCCTGGAGGAGAAGCCCTCGACGACAACGGGGCAGCGGCCCCATCCGGGACCCACCAACGGTGTCCTCTCATCCTCCACCACCACCAGCAGCTCCTCCTCGTCGTCCTGCTCCGCGGTCTCGGCCAGCAGCAAGCAGAGCCCGGGCGAGGTCAATCTGAGCGTGATCCGATCCGTCAAGGAGGAGCGCCTGCTCACCGTCTCCACCAAGATGCTCGCCTTCCACCAGCAGCGGGAGCGTGAGCGGGAGCAGGAGAGCAAGGCGGCAGCAGCAGCAGCAGCAGCGGCAGCGGCGGCGGCCGGACATGTGACGGTGCTGGTCACTCCGTCGCGCATCAAGTCGGAGCCACCGCCGCCCGGCTCGCCCTCTTCCACCTCCAACACGCAGCGAGAACGGGAGAGGGAGAGGGAAAGGGAACGAGACAGGGATCGAGACAGAGACAGAGAAAGGGAGCGAGAAAGAGAGCGAGACAGGGACAGGGATCGAGATCGGGAACGGGAACGGGAACGGGAATCCTCATCGTCAATCAGCTCCTCCCAGCAGCATTTGAGCCGGGCCAGTCCGCCTCTGGGCGTGGGCCAGCAGCTCTCGCACGTGCCGCTGAGCGGCAGCGGGCACGGGCTGTCCACGGCCATCGTCCAGACGCACCACCTGCACCAGCAACTGACACAGCCGCTGACCCTGCGCAAGAACAGTCCGCCAACGGAGCTGCAACTGGGCCAGAGTCCGCAGCATCTGCTCAGTCAGTCCATGCAGCATCTCACCCAGCAGCAACAGCTCCACCTGCATCATCTACTCGGCCAGCAGCAGCAGCAGCAGCAGCAGCAGCAATCGCCCCACCAGCAGCAGCAGCAGCAGCATTCTCCGCACTCCCTGGTGCGTGTGAAGAAGGAACCAAATGCGGGCACACAGTCGGCTCAGCGGCATCTGTCGCCGCATCACCAGCAGCAATCGCCGCACATGCAACACCACCAACAGCAGCAGCAGCAGCAACAGCAGCAGCAACATCACCACCAGCAACAGCAGCAGCAGCAGCAGCAAAGGGAACCGCCACCGCAGGCGTTGGCATTGATGCATCCGGCGTCGCTCTCCCTGCGCCACCCGAATCGGGATGCGGCCATACTCTTCCGGGTGAAGAGCGAGGTGCATCAGCAGGTGTCGGTGGGCTTGCCACATCTGATGCAGTCCGCGGGCGGAGCAGCAGCAGCGGCGGCGGTGGCCGCCCAACGGATGGTCTGCTTCAGCAATGCGCGCATCAATGGCGTCAAGCCGGAGGTGATTGGCGGACCACTCGGCAATCTGCGTCCCGTTGGGGGCGGCGGCGGCGTCGGCGGAGTGGGTGGCAATGGAGGCTCGGTGCAGTGCCCATCGCCGCATCCCTCGTCGTCCTCCTCCTCATCGCAGCTTTCCCCGCAGACGCCATCGCAGACGCCGCCACGCGGCACGCCCACCGTCATCATGGGCGAGAGCTGTGGCGTTCGCACCATGGTCTGGGGCTACGAGCCACCGCCACCATCCGCCGGCCAAGGAGCAGCACACTCCCATCCGCATCCGCATCCACATCCGCAGCAGCAGCAGCAGCAGCAACAGTCGCCCCACCACCAGCAACAGCAGCATCAACAGCAGCAACAGCAGCAGCAGCAGCAGCAGCAGCAGCAGCAGCAGAGCGGCGTGGTCAGTCAGGTGCACTGCCTGCAGTCGGCACTGCCCTCGCCCTCTGCTGGCTCCATCACACCCTCCCACTCGTCCGGCGGCGGTGGATCGGGCAGCGGCTCCCTGACGCCCTCGGGGTCGTCGAGCGCGGGGCCGCAGAACAACGAGGAGGCAGCCCAGCTGCTGCTCTCGCTCGGACAGAGTCGCATCCAGGACATGCGAGCGCGCCCCCATCCCTTCCGCACCCCGCACGCCCTCAATATGGAGCGGCTGTGGGCGGGCGACTACTCGCAGCTGCCGCCCGGCCAACTGCAGGCGCTCAATCTCAGCGCCCAGCAGCAGTGGGGCAGCTCCAACTCGTCGGGCGTGGGCGGTGTCGGTGCGGGCGGTGCCGGCGGCAGAGGCGGTGGCCTCGAAGCGCCCCACGAGCCCACGGACGAGGATGAACAGCCGCTGGTGTGCATGATCTGCGAGGACAAGGCCACCGGCCTGCACTACGGCATCATCACCTGCGAGGGGTAAGCTGTTCAACCTAGAGAGAGAGAGAGAGAGACTAAACCATCATCATCCTCCTTCATCCCTTCTTGTCCACAGCTGCAAGGGCTTCTTCAAGCGCACGGTGCAGAACCGACGCGTCTACACCTGCGTGGCGGATGGCACCTGCGAAATAACCAAAGCACAGCGCAACCGTTGTCAGTATTGTCGATTTAAGAAATGCATTGAGCAGGGCATGGTGCTGCAGGGTGAGTAAAATGATTAGTGCTATCCCGTCCCCATCTCCGAGAGTGGCTCAGGATCAAACTAGCTTTCAGTTCAATGTTCAACGATAGTCAAGGGAGAAAAGAATATTGAAAGAGTGCCCTGGTTGGTGATCTCCCATTGCCATGTCCTTGATGAATCGTGGCCCAACAATGGGAGGTCCAATAAAACCATTGTCCAATGTGCAGCAGAGTCCCAGTGCCAATTCGATGCGGAACTTGTGTTCAGCTTGATCTTTGATCTTTCTTTTTACTAATCTCCAACCACTCTCCCACCTCTACTCCGTTCTAGCCGTTCGTGAGGATCGCATGCCAGGTGGACGCAACAGCGGCGCCGTCTACAACCTGTACAAGGTCAAATACAAGAAGCACAAGAAGACGAACCAGAAGCAGCAGCAGCAGCAGGCCGCCCAGCAGCAACAGCAGCAGCAGCAGCAGCAGCACCAACAGCAGCAGCAGCAGATGCACTCACCGATCCACCATCATCATCAGCATCAACACCAGCAGCAGCAGCAGCAGCAGCAGCATCAGCATCATCAGCAGCATCACCACAACCAGCATCAGCAGCAACTGCAGGCGCAGCTCTCGCCCCACCATCTGCTCTCCCCGCAGCAGCAGCAACTGGCAGCCGCTGTGGCAGCAGCCGCGCAGCATCAGCACCAGCAGCAACAACAGCAGCAACAGCAACAGCAGCAGCAACAGTCAAAGCTGATGGGCGGTGGTGTGGACATGAAGCCCATGTTCCTGGGTCCCGTGCTCAAATCGGAGCTGCTGCAGTCGCAGCCAATGCACAGCCCGGCCCAGCAGCAGCAGCAGCAGCAATCGTCGCCGCATTTGTCCCTCAGCTCACCCCTGCAGCAGGGGCAGCAGCAGCAGGGACAGGGACAGGGACAGGGACAAGGTCAGCACCACAACCATCATCAGCATAGCTCTGGGGGCGGTGGTGGTGGTGGAGCATCGTCACAGCCATCGCTGCCGCCGCATCTGATGAACGGCACCATACTGAAGACGGCCCTGACCAATCCCAGCGAGATTGTGCATCTGCGCCATCGACTGGACTCGGCGGTGAGCTCGTCGAAGGACAGGCAAATCTCGTACGAGCACGCGCTGGCCATGATCCAGACGCTGATCGACTGCGATGCCATGGAGGACATTGCCACGCTGCCGCACTTTAGCGAGTTCCTCGAGGACAAGTCGGAGATCAGCGAGAAGCTGTGCAACATCGGCGACTCCATTGTGCACAAGCTGGTGTCGTGGACGAAGAAGTTGCCGTTCTATCTGGAGATACCCGTGGAGATACACACCAAGCTGCTCACCGACAAGTGGCACGAGATCCTCATCCTCACCACGGCCGCCTATCAGGCGCTGCACGGCAAGCGCTCCAGCCAATCCGGAGCGGGTTCAGCGGCCACCGGAGCATCCGCCAACAATCATGGCAGTCGTCATGGGTCACCGGCCTCAACGCCGACACCCACGCAGACCTCATTGTCAATGTCCTCGCCCGCCCAGCCGCTGCACAAGGACGATCCGGAATTTGTGAGCGAAGTGAACTCCCATCTGAGCACCCTGCAAACCTGCCTGACCACACTGATGGGCCAGCCCATTGCCATGGAGCAGCTGAAGCTGGACGTGGGCCACATGGTGGACAAGATGACCCAAATCACGATCATGTTCCGGCGCATCAAGCTCAAGATGGAGGAATATGTCTGCCTCAAGGTCTACATTCTCCTGAACAAAGGTACGTGAGCGCGTCTTGATTGCACATCCTCGAGCTTCGCTTGTTCTCATGCCATCTTATGTGTCCTCTTTGTCCTCCTCAGCAGAAGTGGAACTGGAGAGCATTCAGGAGCGTTATATCCAGGTGCTGCGCTCCTATCTGCAGAACTCATCGCCCCAGAACCCACAGGCGCGTCTCAGCGAGCTGCTCTCCCACATACCAGAGGTAGGTGACAATTCTCCGAGTTCCAGATTTCCAGATTTCCACTCATACTTTCACTCTTATTTGCCCCAATCTGTTGTGTCCCCCCTGTAGATCCAGGCAGCCGCTAGCCTGCTGCTCGAGAGCAAAATGTTCTATGTGCCCTTCGTGCTCAATTCGGCGAGCATAAGGTAGCAGATGCTTGAACACGGCCTGCTGCAAACCACCAACCATCTACCAGCACCAACTCCGACTTCACCCGGACCACCAGAAGCGGCACAGGAGCGGGAGCGGCAGCAGCAACAACAGGAGCAGTCAGCAGGAGCAGGAGCAGGAGCAGGAGCAGCGGCAGTGCGGCGTAGAAGTCGAACGATGCAACAGCCTCAGTTGCGGGATTTGCCCAAGATTAAAATCGAAATCGGGCTACCCAGGGAGCAGCAGCAGCAGCAGCAGCAGCCACAATTGCTGGGCAGGCCAACATCCACATCCACATCCACGTCAACGTCCACGTCCACATCCATACTGAAGACATCGCTGCTGAGTGGAGCGGCGGCCACATTGGCCACACTGACGGCGGCTGCCGAGCAAATTGCACGATCATCGGCCACAGCCAATGACACTGCCATGGACTATTCCCACAGCAACAGCAGCAGCAGCAGCAACAACAGTTTAGAAGAGAGCAAAAGACTTGAGCAACAACAACTGCAACAACAACAACAACAACAACAACAATCACAACAGCAGCAACAACAACAACAGCAACAACAACAACAACAACAATATACATCAATTCTACAAACGGCCTTAATGTCACATCGGGCCATGCCAGCCGCAGCAACATGCGCGGAAACGGCAGCAACAACTGCCACAACAGTGGCGACGACGGCATTGATCAAGACCAAGACGATGCACACGTCACCGACACCTGCCCACGTGATGAAAACGGCGGTGACGTTGGCCAATCTAAGTGAGATTGCCACAGCACGCCAGCAGAAGCAACAATTGCTGGCGTTGCAGCAACAGCAACAACAACAGAAACTGCCCAGAAGGATAATCAATTTTACAAGCAACACTGCCACAAAAGGATTGGGACTGGGATTGGGAATGGGAATTGGAATTGGATTGGGAGCGGTAACAGGAGCTGGAACGGGCATGGCCAAGCAATTGCCAACAGCAGCAACAGCAACAGCAACAACGACAGCAGAAACAGCAACAGCAACATTTAGCGACAAGCTGGGTCAGCATAGTCAGAGCCAAAGTCAGATGGCAAATGGTAAGCAGAAAGAATTGTGAGCTTTGTGGTCCATAACATTGTTGTCCAATACCGTTGCCAGAACGAACAACGTTGCGGCTGCTCAACGGACACGCAGCAGGAGCAGCGGCAGCAGCAACTATCCACACTGCCGACATGCACACACAGACTGATGATGAGCTGCCGATTTTGGACAGTGCCATGCCACAGATAACTGCCACAGCAACTGTAACTGCAACACCATCATCAACAACAACAACAACAACAACAACAACATCTTCATCGACTTCATTATCATCTCGCGCAGCAATGCAGCAACAACAATGGACTGCCGTGTCGACGACGCCAGCAACAGGAATGATGATGACGACGACGACACAACAATCACAAGCAACATTAGCAACACCAACACCGACACCAACACCAAGAACCACAACCACAACCACAAGAACAACAACAACAGCAACAACAACAAACACACCAGCACCACAAAACAAAACCAACAGCAACAGCAACAACCACAATAAGAATTACAACAATAGTAATAATAATATTAACAATAATAATAATAATAATAGGAATGCCACTGCCACAGCCACAGCCACAGCCACTGACACTGCCACGCCCACAGGTGGTACCCAGCGCACGCCCGCGACCTCAGCTTCTGTTACTGTAGTTGTGTTCAAAACAATGTTACCTGATGACTGAATTATTTTAGAATCGTACACGTAGAGCATGTTTTATTATGATTATGGATTATGATTATCGATTATCGATTATGGATTATGATTATGAAATACGATTACCACTTATGATTATGCTTATGCTTATATATGCCTACGATTATTCATTAACTTAGTTGTTAGCTATTATGGATTCATATTCGAATTGATTATGAGCGATTATTACTATTACTATAGCTTTTACAACAAAACTGACCATTAACTATTTGCTACATGCATAATGTAGAGCCTAATGTCTGTCTGTCGTATCGTGGTGTTATGGTTGCTGGTCTGGTCTGGTTTCTATGGAGCCAGCCAACCCGATTATCGATCGATCGATATCCCTGTACTATATCCCGCTCACAAAAGCATACAAAAATCATTGATCCTCATTCACAATCCACACACAATCCACTCAACCCACACACACACACACACAGAGAGAGAGAGCGAATCTTCTAACTTAAAAACATTTTTGTTTTGTTTTTATTGTTTGCCCAGAGCAGAGAAAGAAGATGTAGGAGGAGGAGGAGGAGGAGGAGGAGAATAGAGAGCATTGAGATTGGAAGAAAAAGTGTTAACATCTATGAATAAACGAGTACGATAACGAGAGTATGGTAGCGAGTACACACTATGTAACGAGTATGTAATGAAATATTTAATGTTTATGTAGCCACAATGCCACACACAGCTATAGCCGAGCATTTAGGATGCGTGCATATGTCAGATAATAATGTTCTTTTTTTTTTTTTATAATCTATGTAAAGTCTAGAAATATAAATGTATGTATTGTAAAATGGTGAAGCACCGACAGAGAGCAGGATGAAAGTAGCGAGTGACGAGAGAAAGCAACCACATAAAGTATAAATAGTAGAGTCCATGTAGCATAGTGTCCAATCATCCTTGTAGCCGTGGCCGTGTAGTAGAGAAATTATCAATGAGCCGGAGTGGGTGGGTGTTCTCTCCGTAGGAGCGCAGGATCCACACAGTACCGCACACACACACACACACACACACAGATTCGTTGACACTTTGGGAGGGAATATAAGATGTAATGTTGTTAGTTACCCCTACTGATCCCCAGCCCCACTCCTCTCACATGTTATAAACATACATACTAGCTATATATATATGTATACTATTATTATATACCACTAATATGTATATGTTTGGGAGTACTACACATACTGCCACACAGCAATTGCAACTTACTTTGACCCTCACACATTTGCCCGATTATTTATCGTATTGTGTGTGCGTATTGGGGTGGGGAGGGTTGTGCGGTGGGGTCGAGAAAGTGGGGTGGCAGAGAGACACACACACACACAATATAAATATACATAAATGCGCAGAAAGGAGCACACCCACACACACACTATACCTATACCTAAGTTAAGAACGCATAATCACCATTTTACATATAGGATGTACCAATGTATGCATATAACAACACACCCACACCCACACCCACACACATACATACATACATACATACATAAATACATACACATAAATCTAGCTCTAATTATGCATATTATTTTTTTTTAATATATATACACACACACACACACCCAACCAACACTTATATATATGCTCGTATATATGTATTTGTATATGCAGAATATATACATACGTATTGTATATGTATAGATAAAACACATAAATTACGCATAGAGCATACATACATACACACATACATACATACATACATACGAGAGGAGGATATTGAATGTGTTGAGCTGAAAGAAATGAAAAAACTAAGGAAACAAAAACGAAAACAAACAAAAAAAAAACACACAAAGAAATGCAAAGAGCAAAGGATATAAATATATATAATTATTTTTTTTTTTTTAAGACGATTACGCATTTTGAAATCGTAATCGTGGTGTCGTAAGCAACCCTATTCGCCTATCGCCCATGGCGATATTGATGCCCGGATTGTTATCGATATCGTCGTACTACGTTTTATTTTGTAAATGTATTAATTTTGTTGATTTTTTTGCTGTCTGTATACATTTTTTTAACAACATTTTTGAATAAATGTAATTCTTAAAAAGTTGTTATTTTGTATTTATTTTTTAACTTCTTTTTTTTGTATCCCCAAAGCCCCTACCCCCACCCGTCCACTCGCTTCCGCACTGTGTTAGAGATCGACCGAAATTCCCACACGATCGGATTGTACATATAAGAGAGACGTTATTCCGCTTATACCATGGCGAAGAACCCAGAAATTGTATATTTATATCCATTATGGATTGGATTGGATTGGATTGGAAAAGTACAGCAAGAGAATGGCCCCATTTCTGTACGACAATACTGGAATGAGTTCAACATTCGTTTGTTTATTTAAGCAATACGATTGCTAGTCTAGGATATATACAAGGGGAGATCTTACAAATATAATGCTGCTTCCCATGGCAGTTTCACCTCAATCTCAGTCGAACCAACGCGAACGCCCCAATAAGTATACACCGAAAAATGTCTACAAATTGTCTTTCGAATGGGCGTTGCCTTGATCCAGTCGATCCACTTCTCATGCAGGTGCAGTCCCAGAGCCATAATGCTGTGTTTTGGGTTTTAGTTTATATGATTTGGAACCTGAAACGAAGAGCAAGGAAACATATAGTAGAACAGAGTCTGTTAGAACTGAATTATAGATTATTGTGGCGAAGGCGCTTGGCCATTTTCGTGTATAGATAGTAAAACCATAGATTCCCCCCAGCCCTACACACTCGATCTACCACTCATTATACACACATAAACATAAAGATAAGGAACGAGCACGAGTACGTGAAAGAGAAACAGATAACGAGAACGGATAGGGACATCCCAAAACCAAGCAAAAATAAAATTAAAAACCAAAAACACAAACAAAGATGAGAATAATGAAGAGAGAGAGAGAGAGAGAGATGTTTAAAAAATAAAGAAAAGAAAAAAGAAAATGAAATTAAGAAAGAGTCTGACATCAAATTGCCTTCAAATGTTATTTTTGATTTTTTTTTTTGTCCGTAGTAAGGTTTTTTTACAAGCAAATAAAAAACAAGCAAAAAGAATGCAAAAAAAAAATCAAATACGAAATAGCAAATAGCAAGAATATTTAAATAATGTGAATTTTCATAAGCGAATTAATAATACGAGAGTTCGTGCGAGAACTAACCCCCCAAAAAAAAAAAACCAATATACGAAATGAGAGATCGGAAGTGAAGATCTGTATGGGATGGTCGGGCGGGGCAGGCGATTAACATTTTTTGTAGAGTGTAAACAGCATAAGACGTCAGTAGCGGCGATAACGGAAGCTGGGAAGGGATATTTAAAATAACAGCAACAAAAAACATAAGGAAAGTAGATAAATATAAAGTAATACAAAAAAAAGAAAAGGAAAATGAAAATGAAAAATATTTTTGCACAGCGTGTTATCGAATAAGTGTTAGATATAAAAAACAAAAAGCGTAACCGTAAACGAGATTCGAATCAATCAAAGTGTAGACAGGACGGGACGGGACGGGACAGGACAGGACGGGACAGCTTAGCCAGACCAGTCAGCCGTTTCCTCTAACCTTTTGCCATTATCCATCTCCCCCACCCACATGCAGGTCCACGTCCCCTAATGAATATATAGAGACATGCGTCAGATGGCGGGTTTGCTACCCCGAAAGTGTCTTTGTAAATACATAAGCAGAACGATCAGAGGAGCAGTGAGAAGAATTATGTATGCTGGCTCCCCATCTGGCTGCTCGAGATACATACATACATAAATACATATGTATAACATTAGTTAGCTAATTTTAACGACACAGAGAAACACCCAGTCCCGGATGGCACCCAAAAAAATATACATACAGCCAGTTACAGCAGTCAACGGCCGACGCTTATCTAACCAACTACATACATACACACACACACACACACACACACACATATATAACTGTTGTGCCTACCCCCCACCCACATAAACTACAGACACACTCCGCTCCACACCACACCACACCACACCACACCACACCAAAACTGCACACTCAACAATGTCCCATTCGGACGCAGACCCGTCCCAATTAGACACCTCCCACACCCACAATGGCCCACAACCCGTGTGTTCCGTGATCGATATTCCATGGTCCCAATAGTGTTTAACGACGTGGATGCAATACGAACTTCTTATGGTGCTTAATCTGGATCTTGATCTTGAGGACAAACCCCCAGCCTACAACTCAAATTATGGGACTGATGCAATGAAACAAAAAAAAAAACACACAAAAAAAGTAAAACCAAAAATAAAAAATAAAACCAAGAAATAAATTATAATTACATATATGCATTATACATACATATATAGTACGTGTGTGTGTATTGATATGTAATGGTGTATGAGTGTGTGTGTGCATTCATTTAAGAAAAATGAAACGAAAAGCGAAAGCAAAAAGCGATCAATGAATTCAGTAAATAAATAAAAATCGAAGTAGATCCTTCCATATGCTAAACGGGAGAGAGAGTAGTAGGGGTAGGGGCTCTACCAGATGGTGGGTAGATGGTGTTGCTGGATGGCCATTGTTATACTCTTTGAATTTGTGAATACCCAAATTAGAAAATTTCAAAACGAAGCCGAAGCAAAGCTAAGTGAAACACAAAACAAAACAAAAACACAACAAAATGAACCGAAAATTATATATTGTACCGCGTAGTAGATACAATGTACTGTTTTTTTTTTGTTTGTTAGTCATTTTTTTTGTGTGAATTTCTAAGTCTATATAACATATGCGGGGGGAAGATGCGTATCCTCGCCGCTTTTTATATAAGTATACAATATGGGTTTTTGTTTACTTTTGTTTGGATTTGATATGAATGTTAATCGATGGATTGATTGATTGATTGATTGATTAGTGAACGTTTGATAGTAGATACCAAAATATAATTTGTAACTGAAACATGATGTAATATGCATATAAGCAAACGCAAACACAAACAAGGAAAACGAACCGAGAATGATAATGAAATGAAAATGTTAGCAAAAATAAAAAAAAAACCAAAACGAAGAACTAAGCCCATAATTGAGATTTTTAAAGCACGATTCGAGATCACATATAAATTTAATAAATTACACATGTATTAATAATAATGAAATGATGTATTTACGAATAAAATTAATATTATCACATGAATGATGGATCTCTGCGTTGCCTTTTGCATTTTACTGCCTGCCTGCTTGCTTGGCTGGTTGTCTTTTAGCTCGCCTCTCACTCACGTTACTTGAAAAACTCGGAAGGGAACTGGGGCTCCATGATGACGGTGAACTTCCGCTTGGCCACTGCAATATCCTCCAGATCGGCTATAAAATCACTGCAAGAGACAGACATACATGCAGTGTTATAAGTATAGTTACAGATTTCTATGCTCTGGCCATACCTCTCGTTCGCCAGCGTCACATTGATGCGATCTGTGGAGACGCGTGTGGGTCTGATGGCGCCAAAGAAGTCGGTAATTGGCACCTTGTGTGGGTCACGGCGGTAGAGGTCCTTGCGCACACCAACAGTCGAAATGCAGACACGCTTGGGGCACACTTGAAGCTGTAACGACAGAAGGAAGGGGCTTAGCATGTTGCACGGTAGAATACAGAAACACTTACAAATTCGCCAATGGTGCGCGTACTGAATGGCTGCACCTTCTCCAGGAACTCCAGGGCATAGTAAGTATAGCGGTCAATCATGTACACACCAATCGAAGGATCCACATGATGCTGTAAAGCGAGATACAATCAATACACAGGCATTATTTTCACACAGTCGTTCTGCTTACCGAGAGCGAATCCTGGCCCACCAGGCTGCTGGCCACTGCCAGGACATTGGGCGAACTGAACTTCTCGTACAACGAGGCGGCCTGGCAAGTGTCCACCATGAAGAAGAGCTCATTGTAGCTGCAATTGGTGGAAATATGAATTGATGATTGGTTCAAATATTTAGCACAGGGCAGCAGCACCGTTTCTTCTCCCACATCTGCTGGATGCCGTCGGCCAACTCCTGGCTGGTTATCTCCTCCGAGTCCTGGAACTTCAGGAAACCATCGCCGCCATGGCCGGTGAGGTAGATGAGAACATTGCTGCCGGCATCGGAGAGCAGCTTCTTGGAGCGCGCTGTACCGTTTTGGGTGCGGCCAGTAAGGAGGCGGACAAAGTTCTCCACGGTCACTTCGTAGCCGCGATAATCCACCTCCACGTCGTCGCCGTAGACATTGATGTGCTGGTTGGCGTTGTTGTAGACCTGACCGGGACGCGGATTGCGGGCGTTGCAGGCCATATCGTCAGCTATCATCAGAATGATCTGCGAGTCGGGAATGCCGAGCCGCTTCACTGAGCGATAGATGGACAAGACGTTGGCCACATGCCGGTAGTTGAACCAGAACCGGGAGGCATCCACTAGGACAGCCCAGTTGTTGGTGTGCGTCGATCTTTGAGTGGCATCCACATAACCCTCTGGCAGGATGGAGGTATCTCCATTGCCCGCAGAGCCGCCACCAACGCAGATGCAGAATATACAAACAATAGACACCAGTTTAAGAAACATTTCGTTCATGTTTTAAACAAAATCAGTGATAACGCAACTGCGGGAAATGACAAAAAAATGCGTCGAGAATCCCCTAACGCGTGTTATCGATAGTCATAACAGAGGCTTAACATAGCTCCGTTGCGCTTAACATGCCCCTCTTTTACATTTTCGATCTTTTAATAAATTAATTGCTAATAATAATAATACCATTCATATATGCCCATATATTAACAGTGCATTTAGCCCAACATACTATTGACCCTCTAAAACAATCAAACTGATATTTTAACATTACCCACAAACACTTACGAAAGGCTGGGCAAAAGAGACAGAGAAAGGAAGACATTTGGCAATGGGAAAATTTTCCTCAGCTATTTTAGCCTTTAAACCCTGAATTGACTTCGCTTTTTTGCATAAAACAGTTAAATCACATAAAGGTTGATACATTCCAAGCAATAAATCTGACATAGGCATGTTGAAAGTAGTAAAAAAAAGCCCAAGAAAATGGCAAATGGCAAATGGCTCTCGGCAATAATTCAATATGGCGTAAAAAAGAATGACACTGCGCCACAAAGAGAAGAGCGATAAAGAGAGGCGAGGAAGAGAGAGAGAGCGAGGAGAGCGAGAGAGAATAATGGAGTGTGCTGTTGGATATGTACTTATGTACGTGTGGCTGAGTACCCATAAAAGCCTTGTTTGCGTGCTAGTTTTAACTGTTTTTTCGGTTTACTTGTGTTGGTGGCCACCAACACCAATGCCATTGGCTTTCCACAGGGCAAGAAGTAAGGAAAATAATGTAAGACATCCACAAATGCTTTGCTTATGAAAACTCTGCGAATTCGCCGCGATCATAGGTGGCTCTCTCTGTTCTTACGATCGCGAGTCTGGTCTGTCCCCCTCTCTGATTCACGTGGGTTTCCATATGTTTGCCTGTGTGCGTTGATTTATGATTGTATGTAGAGTGTATCTTGGTCGATTGTTGTCTGCTCTCAGTTGATTTCGATGAGCTTTGGCTCTGCCGGAAGTTTTCTTTTTATCCATATGTATATCGCCCATTCCGCCTTTCCCTGTCTGACCGCTTATCACTGCTTCTGCCTCCCACTGTACTGTGTACTGTGCTTTGCTTGCCTTGCCTTGCCTTTCATCCATCCATGTAGCTGCGTGGCGTTTTGTCGGCCATTTCGTTTTCCAATTGCCTTTGGCACAACACTCGCACACTCCCGCCTCACAGACAAAGCGTGTGTGAGTCTCTCTGCAAGTAGATGTGTCTCGCGGAGCGTACAAATAATTTCTAGGTGAAATTAATGGGTGGGCGTACTGCAAAAAGCGGAGCAACCTACAGGCGAAAGGCCTTACAGACATATTTTCCACACAGTCCACACTCTTATCCATCAACTGCTCTTATTTAAACTAATCAAATGGGAAAACAAAAGCGTCTGTACAAAGGATCATCGTTAAAAAGTGATTAAAAATTGAACAGTGCCCATCCCAGACAGGATAATCGATCTAAGGGGTTTGTTTGCCGTGGTCAATGTTACTAATTGATGATGTCATTGCCTATAAGCCGGGGGGCGGTGAATGCCATCAAGAACTGGCGTGTCCTCATTTGCCGCCATCCTGCCTTGCCTTTCACTTGACCCAGTTCGAGGGAAAGCCATTTTCCACGACTTGTTTGTATGTACAAGTGTATGTATAGTATGTACATAATATGCATGCGGCCAGTAGAGACAAATGACATTGTTAACGCCAGCGGCTCGGCTTGGCTCTCTCTTTCTCCTCATTCGGTGCATAACGCGATGCAAAGCTATTGATTTTCCCTTTGCCCTTCATTGGCCGCCAATGGGCGCCGTTTATTTGGCAATTAAGTTTGACTTTAACCCAGTTACTGCCGCTTCCCTTCACTCGTCCTATTTTGTCCGATGAATTTAAGACAAGAAGGGGGTGGAAATGTTTCAACGGACGCAGGACGCCACCTGACACTTGCAGGATTCCCTGTCGTGGGCAGGCGAGTGACAACTGTTACGCACATGGCTTCGTGCACGTCTTCCGCTGCTGGGATGTTCCCCCCACTGGGATGTACAGGACATGAAACAAAAACAGAAACCGTGCAACAGCATCCGATGTGGATGGTGGGTGGTGATGATCAGAGGGAGGCAGGAATCTGTAAAGGGCACGAGAGCAACGCAACAATTCTAACGTATTGAAAAGTTGGCTTTATTTCGCTACCCAGATGCTGCCCACTACGATCCGGCCGGAGTCCTTTGCCGACGGAACAAAAGACGAGGCAGCCGTCACGGCGAGATAAGATGAGAGCCAGACGGCGAAAGTGCTAGAGAGAGAGAGGCCAGCAAACATTTGCCAAATAAAACATACAGCCAGCCGGTAGCGTCGACCACTCAATGCCCTACACTAGCAAGATCATAGACGCTCAAAGTGTGCGCTCACACTCATGCATGTATTAACAGGCATGCATATTCATCCCCCGTACACAAAAAAGAGTGTATCTGGCGGTGGGTGCTGCTCATGGCACAGCCAACTGGCGGCGGCGAGGCGAATAAAAGATTTTCGCCGCCATCGACGGGCCGCCACTCACTGCACAACGCTCTCTTGCGTGCTCTCTGCTCTGCCTCGTTATTTCGCTTCACACCGTGTTTGCGTTCACAACTCATTCGGTTCGGGTTCTGCATTTTATTTTATTATTATTATTTTTTTTTGTTTGTTCTGCTCCTGCCTGGGTGCAGTTTCTTCGTAAGTCGGCCATCACAGGAGTTGGCGCCCTCTGTCGCCCCGACGGGGAATGTCGTCGTCGCATTGATTCAATGAAAATTAAAGCGGAAAATTCGCAAATGGACATCTGAACAGAAAGAGCATTAAGTAGGTAAAGTATTCGCGTTTGCGTTTGTGTTTCGTTTCGTTCGTCTTTCGGGCTCGGTTTCGTTTCGGCTGCCGCTCGGTTTCAATGAAAAAGCAAATGCGAAAAGCAATTCAAAAGTGAAACGAAAGAGACAAGTGAGTGCTGTTCCGTTCGCGCGTCATGCTTGTTGTTGTTGTACCAAAAGAAGAGAACAGATTGAAAAGAAAACAGCAAATTTTGTAAAGTTTGCTTCATTTTTATTTTTTTGGTTTTGTTTTTTTTGCAACTGTTCTTTGGCGACCCTTAGGTCCGCACAATTTCCACAGTTTTTCATTTGGCCGAACGTGCATGCCTGTCTGTGTGCGTGTGTTGTGTGCGAGAGTGAGTGAGCGAGCGAGCGTGCGAGTGTGGCTCTCTGTTTGTGTGTGTTGTGCGAGAGTTGCCGAGGCGGACGATTGCAACGCTGATGGCAACTCTGCCAATTCTTTAACAACTTTTCCATTTGGTGAAAATTCTTGGGCCAGTTTCCGTTGCCCTGGCCCGGCACGGCACGGTCTGACCTGGCCTGGCCCACTGTGATAGTTTCGGCGCTCTTCGTTTGGCCAGTGTGGCCAGTGTTTACAATTGCCCCTGTCAACGTTTTTTGCTCACTTCATTTACACGAGAGTGGCTATGCTATGACGGGAATATTCCCGTGGCTTCAGGCTGTGGTGTGCGTGCATTCTACATAATAGTGTATACACACATAAGTACTTCATCTTCATTTTGTTATTTGCGATTCGCTTTTACTTCCTTTATTCGTCTGTTTTGTTGTCGTTCGACTTGCCCCGCTGTCTCTCCCGCCTTCGTCTTCTTCGGTACGTCTCCTCTGCGCTGCCGCTGTCAGTGTCATTTTCCCTTATGCTTGCTTTCCACCATCGTTTCATTGCTCGGCTCTGCAGAGGGTGGTGGCGATGGCTTCAGTTAATAATATGTGTGTGCGAGCGTCAGTATATAAGTATGTGTTTGTGTCATTAAATCCGTGGCTGTGTGAAAATGATGCAGATTTCCTCTGCCAAAGCAGTGCAGAATGCAGCCGCAAGCAGCACATACTAAAAATCAAAAACGGTGAAACACCAAAATCAAAGTGAAGGTCGCCTGTCCTTTGAAACAAATTTTGAAACTGTCTTTGGCACTGTTCCCCTTCTGCCTGATTTAAGCCTGTGCCTGTGGCCGTGGCTTTGCCTGTGGCTCTGACTATTATTTGCTTGCGCTAGTCTGGCCACACCAAAATGGCGCTTGTCAGAATGTACTTTGGCTCTGGGGATCAGCTCAGCAGCAGCAACAACAGCAGGATACCAAAGCGATTTGGGGATTACTCAAATGTGCCCATCAATTCCTCAGCTTTGGCTCTTGCTCTTCTTTCAGCTTCTGGTTCGCTTTCCTCACATTCTCCGCTCTCTCTCGCTTAGCTCCGATCCGCTCCGCTCCGTTCTCTCACAACCGCAGTTCCAGCTGCTGCCAAAACTTGTTTTCGACTTTACGACTATGCCAGTGCGATAGTGTGTGGGGGCTGTGGTGCGGTGCGGTGTGGTGGGGGGCTTGGCATTTGCAGCGTATGGAAACTGCAAAGCATGCTTAATGTTCTAGCCCCAGAGGCAGGTTGGTTGATTGGTTGGCTGGCTCCAGCGACAGCTTCGGGTGTGCTTCGGGCTGTCCGCCCGCTGTCGTCGAGCTTCGTTCAGGATCAATTCCATTGCTGTCACATAACCTCACAAATTACAAATTGGGATATCCAGGCAGTAGCCAAATGAAATTCAATTAATAAACTGACGTGTGAGTGAGAGGGAATCTAAAAAGGATGATCCACCTGGTTATCATATCCCATTCTTGTGACCTCCCCCCAACCCCCCTCTCCTTTCCCACATGGCGTATTAGTAATCGGATCCACAATGGACTTATGCTGAGTTTTCTTTTGTGTTCTGTCTTTGCAGGAAATCCACATCATCAATCCAAGTCAACCAATGGGACCAACTCACTGTGACTCGAAGTGGACACAATCAGCATCCGATTGCCGAAGATTGCAGAAGCAACATCAGCAGCAGCTACAGTCGCAGCAGCCACTGCAGGAGGAGGCGGAGGAGCTGGCATCATAGGAGCAGCAACGTCTGCAGCAGCTGCGCTAGGTGACGGCGTCTCCGTCACCGGCTCGTCAAGGATGTCGAACCGCAAGCCAGGAGCCGCAGCCACAACGGGAGCCGCCCCTAAGGCGGAAACCCCAACCGCAGCCGTCCTGGAGGACACTGCGAATACCTCAGCCACTGTGATCCTTCCAGCCAGCAGCGAGGACCAGTCTTCAAGCACTGGCGAGGAGCAAGCCACAGTCACAGCCGGAGCCACATCCCCCCCTCCCGAGGAAAAGGATGTTGAAGGGGAAAAAGAGAAAGCGGTAGAGCAGGAGCTGCAGTCCAGCGGGGATGCCAATTCGAATGTGGACCGAGACCAGTCCTCCCCCGCCACGATAACAGAGGGGGTGGTGGTGGTGGCCCCACCAAAGCCACCCACACCCACTATTGTCAGCGATGGACTGGGCAGCAAGAGTGTTCGAATCACACGACTCTCGTCGCCGCTTCTGTTGCTTAGCTCTCCCACAACTACAGCCACAGCCACGAGGAATCGTGAGGCAAGCGAAGATGGCGAGGAGCCGCCGGCGCCACCACCACCTTCGCAGTCGTCGGGAAGTCAGAGGAAGAGCTCGGCGGAGCGCTCAGTTGTTGCCCCCGTCATTCGCGGACGCAAGTCCATTAAGGATCTGAAAGAAGCCAAAGAAGCCATCGCCAAGCTCGAGGATGGGCCAGTGCAAGTCAAAGAAGAGGCCATCGATGGCAGCGAACTGGAATCCCTGCCAGCAGCCGCAGCAGCAGTCGATGAAAAAGACAAAGACACAAAAGACAAGGAAAAGGAGAAAGAAAAGGACAAGGAAAAGGAGAAAGAAAAGGACAAAGAGCAGCATCCTGCGCCGACTTGCAATCGTGTCACCCGCAAGTCACACGCCCAGGAGCAGGCCAACAACACACGCGTCACTCGCAATCGTCGCCAATCCTCGACGGTGCCCGCCTCCAGCGAACAGCAGCCGCAGCCACTGCCGCCAGCACGCGGCCGCCGACCAAGAAAGTCCCAGGCAGTGGTCCCAACGCCACTGGAGCCGGCCACCAAGCGCAAGCGCTCCGAGGACGACGTTGAGAGTGCGACAAAGTACAGTAAAATTGAGGTGAAGGCGCCGCCACCGGATGACGAGATCGACGATGCCGTGGACACGGCCGAAGAGCCACCCAAGGCCGCTGCACCGATCAAGCAGGAAGTTTCTGAAAGGGACACAATCTCTCCAGCAACCACACCCTCTCCCGCCCCTCCTTCTGCTGCTCCAACACCAACCTCAGGGGGACGACGGGGTCGGGGCAGACCACAGACCAAGAATGCTGGAGGTACAGCATGTGCTGCATCCACGAGCACGCGTGCCACACGTCTGAGCAAGGCGGGATCGCCGGGTGGACTGGGATTGGGAGTGGGAATTACCGCTGCTGCCGAGCCGCTGATGGCCAAGCGGCGACGGGTGGGCTCCACCACACGGAAGACAGCATCTGCCAGTTCGCTTGCCACCAGCTCGCATGGCGGCGGCGACGAGGACTCCAAGGACAGCATGGCATCGTCCATGGACGACCTGTTGCTGGCTCCTGCCGACATCAAGATGGAGAAGTTGACGCCGGACTTTGACGACAGCCTGCTCCTGCCAGTGGATCCTGTGGTGGGCCTGCTGAAGGACACACAGACACAGGCCATGGAAAATGAGGGCTCCACCACCAGCGGAGGGGGGGCCAACGGTCATTCCTCCGGTCATGCCTCCTGCATTGAACCGCTCACTGTGGACGCCGATCCAGCGGATGCCGATAAGGATAAGCTGAAGGAGTCGCCGCTAGAGGCGACGGAACTGCCAGAGTCCGAGTCGGAGTCTGCCTCAGGATCGGTCTCCGCATCCGGCGAGGCTGGCAAGGCTGCGTCGCTCAGTCCCGACATGATCAGCGTCAAGTTTTACAAGAAGTTCCTGGCCAACAATCTGGGCATCGAGAAGGACCCAGAGCTAGGGGAGATTGTCCAAATAGCCAGCCACAGCGAAGTGGAAGTCGAAGCTGAAGCTGAAGCAGAAGCTGAAGCCGAATCGGAGCCTGACGCAGATGCGGAAGTGGAGACAGAAGCGAAAACTGAAGTGGAGCTGGAGCTGCAGCTAAAACCAGAGTCCGAAACGGAACCAGAGGCGGAAGCCGAGGCCGGGGCAGAAGCGGAAGGCAAATCCGCGTTGGATGATTCCTTGCACTCGAACAGCTCCCTGAAGGCAGGTACACTTCGGCTGGAGGAAAGCACCAAGGAGCGAGGACACACGGATGATGTCGCTGTAAATGGGGATGATGGCCATGTGGTGGACGAGGATGACTTTGACGAATTGGATCACGAGATTATGGAGCAGCTGGCCAGGGTCAAGGCCATTGGTGTTGCCAGTGATCCAGATTCAACTAATGCTGATCCGGAGGGATTCGAGGGAAAGAAACTGCCGGCGGTAACAGATGAAGAGCCATCGGTGCCTGTGCCTACGGATACGGCGGAGGAGCAGCAGGCGGAGCAGGCGGGACGCTGTGTCGGGGAGGTGTTGGGGAAATTGACAACAAACGATGCGGACACAGAAATGGAAATGGATGTGGACGTCGAAATGGAAGCAGAAGCAGACGCAGAGCCAGAGGATGACTCAGAGCAAGAAAAAACACAGCAGGAGCTGCCGTTGATGGCGGACCACGAAATGGACAATGATTTTCCAGAGGAGAACAAGGAAAACCTATCGATGACGAGCACATCGCCCAGGCGATCCAGTCACGAAGGTCTCGACATTCAGCTGACCCTCAAGGATGAGGAGGATGAGGAGAAGCCCTTGGCGGCCATAACAGCCACCGAAACGAAGCCCAATCTGGATGCAGGCGACGACTCCGCAGCTCCTCAGCTCAGCTGCCTAAAGGCCCTCAAGGACCACAAGGACCAGTCCGAAGAGAAAAATCTCCTGCCCGCGACTCTGGAATACACGAGCAATGCAGAGGCCAATGGCCAGCATGATATGGGACTCTCTGGCGATGAGAAGGAGCGGCGCGATCAAGAGATTCATCTTCATAATCTTGGCCTGCTCACGCACCAGGCCGCCGAGCAGCGGCGCCAGGACCTGCAGGAGGCACAGACACGGCAGGCGCAGTACCAGCAACAGCATCCGCAGCCCTATCCAAGCGGCAAGCGACGATCGACGGCTGTGGCTGGAACGGCAGCGGGAACGGGAGCAGCTGCAGGATCGGGCTTGGGCGGCAGCGCCACTCACGTGGAGTCCAGCGGGACACTGAAGACTGTCATCAAGCTGCATAGAAGCAGCAACGGTGGAGCCGGCGGCAGTGGCGGCGTGCCCACGGGTACTGTCATCCATGGCAGCGGCTCCTCTGGCTCTGGCTCATCCTCCTCCTCGATGGGCAGTGCCACGCGAAAGGCGAGTGCTGCCAGCACAGGGTCAGGCATTGGCTCTGGTGCCCACGGCGTACGCCGACAATCCCTCAAGATGACATTCCAAAAGGGTCGCGCCCGCGGCCATGGTTCAGCGGATCGATCTGCCGACCAGCATGGCGTCCATGCAGAGGACTCCTACTACACCATACAGAATGAGGTGAGTGCCTGCCCCAAGAGCCTTGCTTAATCTTATCTCTAATTTGTTCCTTTTTTTGTGTATTTTGCAGAACGAAGGTGCGACCAAGTCGAACATACCGTCGGGTAATTCTGGCCGAAAGACCAATAACCGTTTCAGTTCGACTAACAACAACAACAACCAAAACAACTCGACGATAGCCAAGCACTTGGGTGCGCTCCAGCATAGATCTCTTTTGGGTTGGTTTTCAGCATCACTGCCCTGCCCTGCTCTGCCCGTCTGCCGACAGTCTGTGTCTCTCTCTCTCTCGCTCTCAGCACTAAGCAAACAACCCATAGAGTAGTCAAATGGAGTAAAAACTGGCTGCCTAATCAGTATAGTGGATTGGCTCCCAGTGCCTTCGGCTCTTCGTTAGAGAGCCTTCGGCTGAGAGAGTTTGGCGTTGGCTCTCTTGAGCGTTTAACGCAAAGCGATTCTCGCAAAAACAAAGTTTTGTTTTTCTTTTTGAAGACTGCTTCGTAATTTCATGTGTGCGGTGACACATATGCACATACATACATGTTGGCAATGCGTGTATCTGTTCTCGACTTCATATGCGTTTTCATTTTTAGCGCTTGAGACGTTTGGCACTTTTGTGTTGCCTCTGAGCTCACATACCCTTCCTTCAAACTTGAGACTTTCAGCTTGCCCCAAAAAATAAATAAATTGACTTTGTGTATCCTCTCTATGCTTATATATTTCTTAAATACATCTAGGACGAAAGGGATCAACGGTTATAAACATCTAAATATGTATATAAATAATGCATAATCTCAATTGACTGGGCGTTGCAAATATTTTCCATTAGAATATTCAGCGTACACTGTGTGAATTAACATAGAGTTATAAGAGGAGACATGACAGCTGTGCCGAAAAAGAATTTATTTTGGTTTCGTAGTCTCGTGTGTGTCTCTCTATGTTTATTCACACAGTCAATTGCGGTTATTCATTATTTATATACATATTTAGATGTTTATAACCGTTTATAACAAAGTCAATTTACTTAGTTTTTGGGGCAAGCTGAAAGTCTCAAGTTTGAAGGAAGGGTATGTGAGCTCAGAAGCAACACAAAAGTGCCAAACGTCTCAAGCGCTAAAAAGGAAAACGCATATGAAGTCGAGAACAGATACACGCATTGCCAACATGTATGTATGTGCATATGTGTCACCGCACACATGAAATTACGAAGCAGTCTTCAAAGAGAAAAACAAAACTTTGTTTTTGCGAGAATCGCTTTGCGTTAAACGCTCAAGAGAGCCAACGCCAAACTCTCTCAGCCGAAGGCTCTCTCACGAAGAGCCGAAGGCACTGGGAGCCAATCCACTATACTGATTAGGCAGCCAGTTGTTACTCCATTTGACCACTCTATGAGTTGTTTGCTTAGTGCTTTCAGGGAATCAAACCACAGTCCAATACGTCCTCGATCAGTGTTGCCAGTGAGCCACAGTAAAAATCTAAGCAATAAGCTAAAAGGGAAAACTAGTGATGAATGAGAGAGCCAGAAGACTCCTTTGCCTGCCTCTTCGTTGCTGAGAAGTGCGGGAATACTGCTAGAATATTTATCATTAGTCAGAACAGAAAGTTAATTTGGCAACACTGACTTTGATCAAGCTCTAAGTGCATAAAGAAAGTTGATTCATGGATTGATTCCCTGATTTTCATTCGTTTCATGCGTTCATCCGTTTAGGCGACAACTCTCATCTCCGCCGTCTCATTGTCTCATCCAAAACAGACGAACAGCAAACACCAACAGTTATGGACACAGCTACATACAAACAGATACATTCAGTTACAGAACAGAAAGACAGAAAATATGAATGAATGGAAGGACTAACAAAAGGTTCTGCTCTCTCCTCTTCTCTCTCCTTTTCTGATTCAGATTCATCGCAATCGGAGGGTCATGGTGGCCATGGAGTGGTGGATCACGGCTTCTATCAAATGGTGAAAAAGGATGAAAAGGAAAAGATATTAATACCAGAGAAGGCATCTTCGTTCAAGTTCCATCCGGGGCGGCTGTGCGAGGATCAGTGCTATTATTGCAGCGGCAAGTTCGGGCTGTACGACACGCCCTGCCATGTGGGACAGATCAAGTCGGTGGAGCGACAGCAGAAGATCTTAGCAAGTAGGTGTTAGGATGCCCAACCACTTCCCATTCACCCACTCCAAATAAATGCTAATATTTTCCATCTCCCCTCCCATCTTTTAGATGAGGAAAAGCTGACTGTGGACAACTGCCTGTGCGATGCCTGCTTTCGGCATGTGGATCGTCGCGCCAATGCGGCGCCCTACAACAAGAAGCGTCTCTCGGCACCCGGTCACTTGGAGACGGGCGGCCCTGGTGGCAGTTCCGTTTCTGGCTCAAGGTCCGCCGAAGGTCCCGAATTGGGCCCCTCCACATCGGCGGGCAGTGCTCAGCGTTCGTGCGCGGTGAAGGATTGCTGCGAGACAGCCGGACATCAGCTGCGACGCAAGTTCATACGCAAGAGCGTCAAGAAGTTCCAGCTAAGCTTCGAGATACCCGCCGGCACATCGATAGTCTGGCTATGCGAGGCCCACTACAATACGATCATTCAGTTTACCGGCTGTGTCCTGTGCAAGCGGCGGCTGGGCAAGAATCACATGTACAACATAACCACGGTGAGTGGGTGGAACTCTCTCTCTCTCTCTCTCTCTTTGGCTGACTCTCATGCATTGTTCTGTGCTTTCTGCCGCTAGCAGGACACCGATCGACTGGAGAAGGCGCTCACGGAAATGGGCATACTCGTTCAGTTGGTCATGGGCACCGCCGTGTGCAAGCTTTGCCGCTACTTTGCCAATCTGCTGATGAAGCCACCCGACAGCACCAAGTCCCAGAAGGCAGAGTTTGTCAAGAACTATCGCAAAAGGTGTGTTCCGAGGCAGCAGAGTTGTGATTATTTATATCCCTAATGCCTTTTGTATTTCCCTTGCAGGCTGCTCAAGGTGCGCAATCTGCAGGATGCCAGCAATGAGGTGTCTGAGGCGGAGGATGAGGCGGTTGAGCACAATGCACCATCCGCTGCGTCCACAAGTGCAGCCGCCTCCACGCACGAGGATGCCGAAATGCAGCCGCTGGTGGTGGACTTTGATGGTCCCACGGACTCGAATTCGAGCAGCTCCTCCATCACGGCCGCTGCAGGCACGGCAACTGGCACCAGCAAGCAGATATCCAAGCTGCAGGCCATCCTACAGCAGAATCTGCCTGGCGAGACTCAGGCCAGTGGCAGCGGGAGTGGCAGTGGAGCGGCAAATGGTTCCAATGCAGCGAATCCGGACATATCGACTGTGCTGCGCGGCAACCCGAACATCTCAATGCGCGAACTCTTCCACGGCGAGGAGGAGATGGGGCTACAGTTCAAGGTGCCCTTCGGCTGCAGCAGCAGCCAGCGTACGCCGGAGGGCTGGACGCGCGTTCAGACCTTTCTGCAGTATGACGAACCGACGCGCCGACTCTGGGAGGAGCTACAGAAGCCGTATGGCAATCAGAGCTCCTTCCTGCGTCATCTCATTCTGCTGGAGAAGTACTATCGCAACGGGGACTTGGTGCTGGGTGCCCATGCCTCATCCAATGCCACCGTCTACACGGAGACCGTGCGCCAGCGGCTAAACTCCTTCGACCATGGCCACTCCTATGCAGGAAGTGCAGCGGGAAAGCGGCCCACAGCAGCCGCCTCCCCGGGCTCGTTATCGCAGGCCGTTTCGGCCACTGGCACTGCCCTGGCCACGCCCATCGCCAACTCAAACCAATCTGCAGATCAAGCCGCTCAGGGAGATCCCCTCATTCCGCTGGTGGAGCTGAACGACGACGAAGATGAGGACGGCGGCCATGAGGGCCAACGATCGCCAAAGGAAGATTTAAACTCGCACTTGGAACGCCTCACCAACGTCTCGGTGGACAAGCTGACCAAGCAGCTCAGCTCGAATGCGGTGACCATTATCGCCCGTCCCAAGGACAAGCCAGTGCCGCCGAGCACCGCCGCATCCGCAGCCACAGGAAGCACAGGAACAGGAACAGGCACAAGCACAGCCACAGTCACAGCCAAAACAGCCACACTCGCCTCGTCGCCGGCATCGATCTCCTCTGCGTCGTCTGTGTCGTCGTCACCCGAGGGTAGTGAAGGCACCCAGAAGGCGGCAGTCTTGTCTCCGGCCCAGTTCAAGAATGCCCCACCCCTGGTGCCCACCAGCAGCGTCAACAATCGGAGCATACTGAAGACCAACCTTCTGGGCATAAACAAGTCCGTTGAGATTGTGCCGCTCTCCTCGTCGCTGGCCATCTCCACCAGCCTGACAGCCGCCACACTGATCGCCAATCACGCGACTGGCACGAAGACTGGCCCAGTTGCCGCCGTCTCGTATTCCGCCCAGGAGAAGCCACACAAGATTCTCGATGTGGCCAACAAGCTGCTTAGCACTCAAAACGAGAGCAAGTCCCAGCAGCAGCAGCAGCAGGCGGGCGCACGTCTGGGCGGGGGTCTCCATTCCAAGCTGAAGCCGACCACGCCGATGAGTCTACACCAGCAGCAGCAGCACCAACAGGCAGCGTCATCCGCAACGTCCACTAAGACGCCAACGGGCCATGTGGTGCAGCAGCTGAACTCACCGCCGGAGTTGATCAGTTTGGCGCGAAGAAGAACGGCCGGTGGGGGGCCCGCAGCTGCAGCAATGGCTCCGGGTGGCTCCAGCTTGATTGGCACTCATCTGAGCAGGCGACTGCAGTTGCAAAAGGCTGGAGCGGCAGGAACGACGGGAACAGTTGCCTCAGCAGGCAGACGAGGGCCGGCCGCATCGCCGAACGTGGTCATACTGCCGGAAACACTGACCACGCAGGAGCGGCACGAGTGCAAGAGCTGGAAGCCAACACTGATACCGCTGGAGGATCAAAATCATGTGACCAGCAAGTCGCAGGCTCTCTACCAGACAGCCGATGGCCGACGGCTCCCAGCCCTCGTTCAAGTGCAGTCCGGTGGCAAGCCCTACCTCATATCCATCTTTGACTACAACCGCATGTGCATCCTGCGACGGGAGAAGCTGATGCGCGACCAAATGCTCAAGACCAACGCCAAGCCAAAGTCAGGCCAGGCACAGTCGCAATCGCAGTCCGGTCAGAATTCAGGCCCTCCCTTGGGTGCCGCTTACTCGAACATGGTCAAGATGGCACAGCAGCAGCAGACCGCACGACAGCAGCTTCAACAGCTGCAGCAGCAGCAGCATCAGAAGCAGCACTCCCAGCAGCAGCAGCAGATGCCAACACTCCAGCCGGGAGGAGGAGCTGGCGCTGGTGCTGGAGCCGGTGCGGGGCGACTGGCCCGCCTGGCCCCCAAGCCCATGCCGCCGTTGAACATTCCGCAGATCGCCAGCCAGGGCCATGCCCAAATGAACCTCAATCACAGCTTAGACGGCAGCAGCAGCACCAGCAACAGCGGCGGTAGCAGCTCCTGGCTGTGGAACAACTTCCCCGATCCCAAGCAGTATCTCCTGAATGGCAACGGCGGCGGTACAGGCCCCACGGGCAAGATGCCACACCTCACGCCCAAGCCCTCGACGGTCACTCTGAGCAGCAGCAGCAGCAGCAGCCTCAAAGCTGGCGGCCCCACCTACACTCTGAAGCAGCAGCAGATGCAGATGCAGCAGCAGAGGCTGATTGACAATGCCATATCGAAGATACCCAAGAGCCTGATTGTCATTCCGCAGGGTGGCGACTCTTCGGGCTCCTCCAAAGAGTGATGGCATGCTGCAGAGTCGGTGCAGCTGGCACGCTGCCACGTTGTACGTTGGCAGTTGTGAAAAGGGAAGACCATACCTTAAAATCAGAAGAGCAAAATCCATAGAGCAGAAAGAGAAGCAGAAGCATAAAGGAGGAGAAAATCAAGATAGTGTTTGAGACTTACTTACCACTTTTGTGTGTATAAATCGAGATATACGGCTACGATTATGTCTAGACTTAAGTAACTACAACTAAATAAGTAGGCTGTTTGTTTGCGAACTGAAAAATGTCCCGAGTATCGGAGACATCTCGATCGACTCTAGAGAGAGAGCTTCACTCGCAGTCGGAGCAAACTGGTGCCAGCAACTGACACACGAAAGCAGATACGAGTTAAGGGCTACCCCTCGTTAGATATGCATATAAGAAATACCTAAACCTATACTCTAATCGTCTCTAGGATATCGTATATATTTTTTTATTACATTTAAGGAGCACATTCACTTGCGATTCGTGTATTATAGATACCAAAATTGCTAGAGCGCCAAGTGGTTAGACGTAGAAAAGGTGGTAGAGAGATTCCACAAAAACACACACTCACACACACTCACACACACTCACACACACACACACATACGCACCCAAGCTAATGTTTAAAATTATGAAGAAATATCAAAGAAAGATCAATCAAAATCTGCGGCACTAACGCTGCTAATCGTAGTCCCAGCAGAGCTCGGTCTTGCGCTCAATGTTCTCGAATCCTGCACACATTATTTGATTTGTACATCTACATTCAAAGAAATGAAAAAAACGTTTGCGTTGTGGCTAGCGATTGCTTCGTTTTGTCTGGGCAGATTCCTAATTTATATTCATTTTCAATTTCCATTTACTACACACAAACACACACACACACTTATAGATTTTAAGGGTAATTATTACACAACTGTACATATGCACACAATATACATATATATAAAACATCAGAATGGAAATATACATAATACAAAAGAAAACAAAACAAACACCCAAGAAATCAAACACTAAAACAGAAAACATTCAAATTGATCGGTGTCGATTGATATTGGAAGAATTCTAGAACTTTAGATCCCTGAAAAGGAGAAGGAGAAGGGCCTGGAGAGAATCGTATCGTATCGTATCTCCCCAAATGGAATCGGTTTTCTCATGTCACATGACAAATTGAAAAGCTTTCAAAACAACTCCATACTAATTTACTAAGAACCCAAACATCAAATAAACAAAACGTATATGTACATATACACAATAGAATATAGAGATGATATATATATATATGTTTATGAAGAAGGATAATTGAAGAGATATTTTAGTGAGCGGCGAGAATACAAATGTAAAATAGCCTGTTAAGCATATAGATATATTTATACACTATGAGAAAATTCAATTGTTGTTGTTGAAACATTGAAAATGTACGAGTATTTATAAAGCGAGCAAAGTCTATTGATAATGATATAAAAAACAAAACAAAACAAAACAAAACAAAAAGAAACCAAGGAAACAAAGCCCTGCCCTGTCCTGTGGCTGCCCTGCCCAGAAATTAGAACTAAGTTCGCCACATCAGCAGTCCAGGACTCACTCAATTGATTGCCTTTAACGAACTTGGTTATATACAAAAAACAAAACAAACATATAGAATTCTATAAGCGAAAGTGTGGGGTGTGCGATGGAGAGTGTATGGGTGTGAGATTTTTGTGAGGTTTATATGTTATTATATTGTACGTTGTAGCTGATAAAACAAAACAATTACCATAACCACATTTCGATGATGATCAAACACATACACACACATACAACATGCATACACATGCAAACATATTTATGCAATTATTTTTAAACAAGCAAGCAAGAGAAAAGATCAACGAAATCGTGAAATAAACTTTTCCCATGTCCAGCTAATAATTGCCCAAAAGGTCTTTATACCCGGTACTCGAAGAGTAAATAGGGTATATTTTATTTGTGCACAAAGTGAATGTATGTAACACACAGAAGGAAACGTTTCCGACCCCATAAAGTATGTATATTCTTGATCAGCATCAAAAGCTGAGTCGATTGAGCCATGTCTGTCTGTCCGGCCGTCTGTCCGTCCGTCTTGTTGAGCGCCTGGATCTCAGTGACTATAAATGCTAACGTCACCAAATTTTGCCTCCAGATGGCTGTATGCTCACACTGTTAAAAGTGCATTTAAAAAATGAGCCCAGGCCCCTTCCGCATCTACAATGTTGAAGATAAAAGAAAACTTATAGCCACAATGAAGAAATTAATTTGCAGTGGCCAAACCCACCCCGTCCCGCACCTTATATTTGTTTTTTCACATTCTCTCATTCACACTCTGCTTCTGCTGTGCGCGGCCACTGCCTCTGCCACGAGTGTGCAGTGTGTGGGTCTAGGGGAGCGAGCTAAAGGAGCGTGTTGGTGTGAGAAGTGAAAAATGTAAAATTTGACAAAACACCGCTAAGGTGCAGATGTAATACTGAGTGCCGGGTATAAAAGTTGTGACGCGTAAGAAGCGTCTCACACGTCCCTTCTCGGCTTTTTTTATTCTTTCGCGCCCATCCATATGAGAGCCTGCATTAGTCTGCATTCCCAGTGAAATTGTTCGATGGAAAACATTGTTTGTCGAAACACACACAATATATCACCAAATAAACGCTTTATTCATTCATCGCTCTCTCATCATCATCTTTCTCTCGTATTTGCTTTGCTGTGTGTCTGCCTGTGTGTGTGCGTGTGTTTTTAGTTTTAAATTTTCAAAAGCTGAGATGTTCGAGATAATCAAAATTTGAAACGGAAAACCAATCAATCAATCAATCATGCATATATGTATGTTTATGTAAAGAATACGAGTTTAGTTATTGGGTTTTCTTTTTTGTTGTTGTCGCTGGTTAAAAATAGTTGGCTACAATAAATAATTGTATGAATATATAGAAAAGAATTGTTTTCTTTCATTTATCTGTTATAATTGAATAACTGTTCTCCTACTCCCCGCTCTGACTACTCTACACTACCGCTAACTCGCTCTGCAGCTATCGCCATCTCTGTCTGTCTGGTGAACTTCAAGGCTGAATGGCATCCATATTGCTTCTGCTTCTGCCTTTGCTCGGACTCCCGTTATTAGGCATCTAGTGCCATCTCCTTCTGAGTACCCTACCCCTTTTCCTTTGGAACTCTTTCCACGCGTGTTTTAGCTTCTCTTTGCTGTCTATCTCTTAGGCTGCTGGGATCTGGCAGCCATTCGCAGATTCGCTTTAATTTTGGGTGCTTTTTCGTTCACTCTTTTCGTTTTCGTTTTTGTTTTGGGTTTTTTATGGTATGGATTTTGTTTTTTTATTAACATAAATTTCAAAAAATATTGTTTTTAGAGTTTTTTGTATGGTTTTTGTTTATGTTTTGGACTTGGTTTTTAAATTTAGAATTAGATTTACGACATTCGATGTGCTGATGATGTTTCCATTCTTCTTTTCTTCTTGCTGTTTTACAATTGATAAAGATCCTGCATAAAAATATATATATATATATACATTTTTATATATATATGATATATGTATGTATATAATGTATTGTATGTGTTTTGTGTGTGGTGTGTGCGGGCTTTTTGGGGGCACGGTCCGCACCCACTCCACATCATCGGTTCGAGACGGAAAGCTATAAATATTCTCTCATGGATAGTACTCTCTCTCTTCTTTCTCTCTCTCTCTCTTCTCTCTCTTTCTCTCTGTGTGTCGCTCTCACTGAAGTTCTTCTGAAGTTACCGTTACGAGTGTAGGTATAATAAATCTATGTTTATTAATATTATTATTATTAGAGTTTAGCATTATTATATGATCTGGCCACGGCTCTCTTCCTGCTCTGCTATGCTCTGCTGGGCTTGGCTCGGCTTCTACTCCTCTCTCTCTCTTCTATCCTTTTTGTATCCTCGTGGGCTGCGTGAGCCGCGGAGCTTACAAATCGGTTTCGCCATAGAGAGCTGTGCTGAAGGACATGTAGTCCAGGGCACCGGGCACACCGTTGGGGCCCTTGTATGGTGGCATGCGCTGGATGCAGTATTCGGCCTGATCTGGGGGCAGCTCGCGGCGCAGTTCGTCGGGCAATATGTATGGCTAAGGGAAGAGAGATGGGAAGGTTATAAGATTAAGCAGAGCTTTAGGGATTGAGTGACTCACCTTATCGGCTGCCAGGATGCGGAAGGAGTCGATGACCTGCTCGGCAGTGTCGGTGTCGGTGCTCTCGCGGGTCATGAAATCGAGGAAGGCATCGAAGTGAACGTAGCCAGTGTTGTTGGGATCGACGACGGCGAGGATGCGCTGGAAGTCCAGGTCGCCCTGTCGGTCCTTGCCAATCGAATAGCCCAGCGAGACGAGGCAGGACTTGAACTCCTCCGGCGTGAGACGGCCGGTGCGGTTCTTGTCGAAGTGATTGAAGCTGGAGCGGAACTCGTTCAGCTGCTCCTGGCTGATGCCCTTTGAGTCGCGTGTCAGGATCTGGTTCTCCACCTCGTTGATGTTGCGATTGATCGATGTGAGCAGCTGCTCCCAGCCGACACGCAGCGTCTCCATCGTGTAGTTGGTGTAGCGGTTCTCGAATATCATCGACTCCTGCACGGCCTGGTGGATCTTCTCCAGCTCCTCGATGTTCGGCTTGTATGCGTACACAGCCTGCTCGTATTCCTTGAGGCGGTGCAGCTGATCCTCCAGGGAGCCCTGCAGTCCCATGCCTATCGCCGTCACGGCATCCATCTGCCTCTCGATCCAGGGACCGACCACATTGGCCTTCTCGGCGAACTGGCGGCGCAGCATCTCGTTGTTCTGCTGCTTGCGCAGCTCGTTGGCCAGCGTCTGGTCGCGCTGTGGCACCAGCTGGCGGACGTCGCTCCACTTGCGGGTCATGTCGTTGGCGGTCAGGGTCGTGTAGGGATTCTCCAGACCGCCGGGTATCTGGTGCTGCTTCACAATGGACTCCACCTCGCGCACCAGATTCACAATCAGATTGAACTCCTTGTCGGCCTCGCCGAGCGTCGCCTTGAACTGATCGTGCGCCTGGATCAGGCCCTGGATCTCCTCCATGGTGTGCACAATGAACATGTCAACCAGATCCTCGCGTGTCCCGTCCAGCCAGTTGTTGAACGGTGCCGCACGCTTCGCGAACTCCAAATGCAAGATGTCAATCTTCTCCAGAATGCGCTCAGCCTCATCCAGCGCCGTGCGGCGACGCTGAGTAAGAGCACCCAAACGGTCCCACTGGTCGCAGATGCGCTGGCATCTGGCATTCACAGACACGCAGTCATGATACTCCAGGGTGCTGAATGTGGAACAAGACACGCATTGATTATTATCGAACTTGGATTAGCCGAGGGATCAGGGAAGGGATCATGAGAATGCGTGGCTTAAATGGATCAAATGAGCGAATGTGAAAGCGAATGGTGTGCCAAGAGATGTGCAGATCGAATACGAGTTCAATGGGTGGTGGCTTCTCTACCTAACCTCACACTTTACACGCGGTTTCAACATGTGCGCCCATTGGGCCATTAGGCAGCAGGCGGATTTGGGTATAGATTAGATTTTATGGCATTCGATCGACATTACACTCGACTGCGACTTACTTGAGCTCCTGGGCGATGGCGGCGATCTGTTCAACGCGATCCTGGTGGGCGGCCAGATCGGACTCGAAGGCCTCGTGCTTCTTCTTGAGGGCCTTCAGCTCGTTGAGCTTGCACTGGCGGAAGTCCTGCGACTGCAGCATCTCCTCCTTGCCGCGTGTCCAATCCTCGTGGGCATCGGCCTATGCGAAATGCCATCCACAGATGAGTACAAATAATAATTAATAGGAAAAACGGGCACGTACCTTGTGCTTGAACTTCTGGGCCAAGTGCTCGAGACGCTCGAGGCGCATGGTCTCGGCCAGCAGCCACTCCTCGAATGCCTTCTCGGCCAGCTCGAGGCCCTTCCACGAGTTCGAGATATCGGACACGGTCTTGCCTTCGGTGGGAAGGTAGGCCGGACGATTCGACAGACGCAGCTTCGTCTGCAGGGTGTTGAAATTGGTTTCGAGTTTTGCCTTCTGCTCCACACGCGGTGGCTTGTGCTTGCGTCGGTACGTGCGGTACTCCTCCAGTTTCTTCTGCACTCCAGCCAGCGAGTTGTCCGCCTGGCGGGAGTTCAGCCACGGCATGGTGCGGCGTATCCACTCCAGCAGCTGTTTCGCAGAAAGAATAAATTAACAAAGGCGTAGCAAGGAACACTCCTCTACGTTCACTTACATCGCTGGCCAGACGCTCGTACTCCTCCATGAGACGCTCATTCTCCTGATTAACCTTGAGTACCTTGCAGATGCGGTTGGCAGCCGTTTCCGCCTGTTGATTTTATGGGATTATTGGGGGTGGGGGGAGAGGATAAACAAAAAGAATTCATTAGAAGGCTTCTGATTGTGGGCGGCTCTGAGTGTGCGTGTGTGTGTGAAGCACGGAACCAACTCAGATTTTTTGTCGAAAGCAGAAACGAGACGAAAACAAACGAAACAAAGGAACACGAAAATAGCAAAAATCAAAAGCCAGCGACAGTGGCAACAAAATCTGCATATGCATCGATTTCTGCAGCTTTGAACTGGGTTTTGGGGGGGTTGAGATCGAAGCCAGAGATCTGGCTGCCACTGAGCGTTGCGTAACGGAACATGCCCAAGCGAGAGGAGCGATAGCAAACAGAGCAAAACAGAAACGACAAAAAAACAGATAAAAAGAGAAAGAAAAACGAAAGAGAGCGCGCGCGTGCCTAGAAGATTCTTTGGGTGTGTTACCGAAGCTTTGGTTTAGTTTTTTAAGGCAAAACTTGAGGTTTAATAATGTTTGAACTAGGAAAATGACTGCTAGTAATAGTGGAAATGTGGTACATAGATCGGATTGAACAGAG